CAGAATCTCTGGGACACATTTAAAGTAATCTCCAGAGGTAAACATATAGCAATAAGTGCCCACATGAGAAGAGCAGAGAGATTCAAAATTGACACCCTATCGTCAAAATTGAAAGAGCTAGAGAAGCAAGATCAAAAAAACTCAAAACCTAGCAGAAGACAAGAAATAATGAAGATCAGAGCAGAACTGAAGGAAATAGAGACACGAAAAACCCTTCAAAAAATCAATACATCCAAGAGCTGGTTTTTTGAAAAGATCAACAAAATAGACAGACCACTAGCCAGACTGATAAAAAAGAAAAGAGAGAACAACCAAATAGATGCAATAAAAAACGATAAAGGGGAAATCACCACAGATTCCACAGAAATTCAAACCATCATCAGAGAATACTACAAACAACTCTATGCACATCAACTAGTAAACCTGGAAGAAATGGATAAATTTCTGGACACTTGTGTCCTCCCAAGCCTAAACCAGGAGGAAGCCAAAACTATGAATAGACCAATAACAAGGTCTGAGTTGAGGCAGCAATTAAGAGCCTACAACGCAAAAAAAGCCCAGGTCCAGATGGGTTCACAGCCGAATTCTACCAGACACACAAAGAAGAGCTGGTACCATTCCTTCTGAAACTATTCAAAATAATCCAAAAAGATAGGAATCCTTCCCAAATCATTTTATAAGACCAATATCATCCTGATACCAAAACCCGGCAGAGACTCAACAAGAAAAGAAAACTTCAGGCCAATATCCATGATAAACATAGATGCAAAAATCTCCAATAAAATACTGGCAAATCGATTGCAACAGCACATCAAAAAACTTAACCATCATGATCAAGTAGGATGCATCCCGGGGATGCAAGGCTGGTTCAACATACGCAAGTCTATAAACTTAATTCACCACATAAACAGAACCAAAGACAAAAACCACATGATTATCTCAATTGATGAAGAGAAGGCATTTAACAAAATTGAACAGCCATTTATGCTAAAAACCCTCAATAAACTCAGTATCGATGGAACGTATCTCAAAGTAATAAAAGCTATTTACGACAAACCAACAGCCAATATCATACTGAATGGGTAAAAACTGGAAGCATTCCCTTTGAAATCCGGCACTAGACAAGGATGCCCTCTCTCACCACTCCTATTCAATATAGTACTGGAAGTTCTAGCCAGAGCAATCAGGCAAGAAAAAGAAATAAAGGGTATTCAAATAGGAAAGGTGGAAGCCAAATTGTCTCTATTTGCAATGACGTGATAGTATACCTAGAAGACCCCATTGCCTCAGCCCAAAAACTCCTGAAACTGATAAGCAACTTCAGCAAAGTCTCAGGATATAAAATCAATGTGCAAAAATCACAAGCATTCCTATACAGCAATAACAGACTTAAAGAGAGCCAAATCAAGAACAAACTGCCATTCACAATTGCTACAAAAAGAATAAAATACCAAGGAATACAACTTACAAGGAATGTAAGGGACCTCTTCAAGGAAAACTACAAACCACTGCTCAACGAAATAAGAGAGGACACAAACAGATGGAGAAACATTCCATGTTCATGGTTAGAAAGAATCAATATTGTGAAAATGGCTATACTGCCCAAAGTAATTTACAGAATCAATGCTATCCCCATCAAGCTACCATAGACTTTCTTCACAGAACTGGAAAAAAAACCACCATGAACTTCACATGGAACCAAAGGAGAGCCCGCATAGCCAACTCAATTCTAAGCAAAAAGAACACAGCAGGAGGCATCACACTACTGGACTTCAAACTATACTACAAGGCCACAGTAATCAAAACAGCATGGTACTGGTACCAAAACAGAGATGTAGACCAATGGAACAGAACAGAGGCATCGGAGGCAACACAACACATCTACAACCATACCATCTTTGATAAACCCGACAAAAACAAGCAATGGGGAAAGGATTCCCTGTTTAATAAATGGTGTTGGGAAAACTGGCTAGCCATCTGCAGACACCAGAAACTGGACCCCTTCCTGACACCTTACACTAAAATTAACTCCAGATGGATTCAAGACTTAAACATAAGACCTGGCACCATAAAAACCCTAGAAGAAAATCTAGGCAAAACCATTCAGGACATAGGAGTAGGCTAGGACTTCATGACCAAAACACCAAAAGCATTGGCAACAAAAGCCAAAATAGACAAATGGGACCTAATCAAATTCCACAGCTTCTGCATGGCAAAAGAAACAGTCACTAGAGTGAATCGGCAACCAACAGAATGGGAAAAAATTTTTGCAGTTTACCCATCTGACAAAGGGTTAATATCCAGAATTTACAAAGAACTCAAACAGATTTACAGGAAAAAAACAAACAAGCCCATCCAAAAATGGGCAAAGGATATGAACAGACACTTTACAAAAGAAGACATACATGAGGCCAACAAACATATGAAAAAATGCTCATCATCACTGGTCATTAGAGAGATGCAAATTAGGCCAGGCGCAGTGGCTCAAGCCTGTACTCCCAGCACTTTGGGAGGCCGAGGCAGGTGTATCACGAGGTCAAGAGATCGAGACCATCCTGGTCAACATGGTGAAACCCCGTCTCTACTAAAAATACAAAAAATTAGCCTAGCATGGTGGCACGCGCCTGTAGTCCCAGCTACTCGGGAGGTGAGGCAGGAGAATTGGCTGAACCCAGGAGGCGGAGGTTGCGGTGAGCCGAGATCGCACCATTGCACTCCAGCCTGGGTAACAAGAGCAAAACTCCGTCTCAAAAAAAAAAAAAAAAAAAAAAAGAGAGAGAGATGTAAATCAAAACCACACTGAGATACCATCTCATACCAGTTAGAATGGCGATCATTAAAAAATCTGGAGACAACAGATGCTGGAGAGGATGTGGTGAAATAGGAACACTTTTACACTGTTGGTGGGAGTATAAATTAGTTCAACCATTGTGGAAGACAGTGTGGCGATTCCTCAAGGCCTTAGAAATAGAAATTCCATTTGACCCAGCAATCCCATTACTGGGTATATATCCAAAGGACTATAAATCATTCTACTATAAGGACACATGCACACGAATGTTCATTGCAGCACTGTTTACAATAGCAAAGACCTGGAACCAACCCAAATGCCCATCGATGATAAACTGGACTGGGAAAATGTGGCACATATACACCATGGAATATTACGCAGCAATCAAAAATGATGAGTTCGTGTCCTTTGTAGGGACATGGATGAATCTGGAGAACATCATTCTCAGCAAACTGACACATGAACAGAAAATGAAATACCATATATTCTGACTCATAGGCAGGTGAGGAAAAATGAGAACACATGGACATGGGGAAGGCGGTACTACACACTGGGGTCTATTGGCGGGAATAGGGGAGGGACAGTGGTGGGGGGAGATGGGGAGGGATAGCCTGGGGAGAAATGCCAAATGTGGATGAAGGGGAGGAAGGCAGCAAAACACACTGCCGTGTGTGTACCTATGCAACTATCTTGCATGTTCAGCACATGTACCTCAAAACCTAAAATGCAATAAAAAAAAAAGAAAAAAATAGCTCACAACTTTAGTTTTTCCTATCTCAGGAGAGGTGTAGGTAAGAAATGCCAAAAAAGGAAAGCTACCTAAAGCCTTATTTGTAGTTTCTAGAAAGATCTTTGACAAACCTGACAAAAACAAGCAATGGGGAAAGATTCCCTGTTTAACAAATGGGATTGGGAAAACTGGCTAGCCACGTGTAGAAAGCAGAAACTGGAACCCTTCCTGACACCTTTACTAAAATTAACTAGAGATAGATTAAAGACGTAAACAGAAGATCTAACACCATTAAAAAAACCCTAGAGGAAAACCTAGGCAAAACCATTCAGGACATAGGCATAGGCAAGAGCTTCGTGACTAAGATACTAAAAGCATTGCCAACAAAAGTCAAAATAGACAAATGGGATCTAATTAAACTCCAGAGCTTCTGCACAGCAAAAGAAACAATCATTAGAGTGAACCAGCAACCAACAGAATGGGAAAAAATTTTTGCAATCTACCCATCTAACAAAGGGCTAAATCCAGAATCTACAAAGAACTAAAACAGAATTACAAGAAAAAAACAAACAACCCCATTCAAAAGGATATGAACAGACAGACACTTTTCAAGAGAAGATATATATGAGGCCAACAAACATATGAAAAAATGCTCATCATCACTGGTCATTAGAGAAATGCAAATCAAAACTACATTGAGATACCATCTCATGTCAGTTAGAATGGCAATCATTAAAAAATCTGGAGACAACAGATGCTGGAGAGGATGTGGAGAAATAGGAACACTTTTACATTGTTGGTGGGAGTTTAAATTAGTTTAACCATTGTGGAAGACAGTGTGGTGATTCCTCAAGAACCTAGAAATAGAAATTCCATTTGACCCAGCAATCCCATTACTGGGTATATATCCAAAGGATTATAAATCATTCTATTATAAACACATATGCACACTTATGTTCATTGCAGCACTGTTTACAATAGCAAAGACTTGGAACCAACCCAAATGCCCATCGATAATAGACTGGACAGGGAAAATGTGGCACGTGTACACCACGGAATACTATGCAGCCATAGAAAACGATGAGTTCGTGTCCTTTGTAGGGACATGGATGAATCTGGAAACATCATTCTCAGAGAACTGACACAAGAACAGAAAATCAAACACCACATGTTCTCACTCATAGGCAGGTGTTGAACAATGAGAACACATGGACACAGGGAGGGGAGCATCACACACTGAGGTCTGTTGTGGGGACTAGGGGAGGGACAGTGGGGGCTAGGGAGTTGGGGAGGGATAACATGGGGAGTAATGCCAGATATAGGTGATAGGGATGGAAGCAGCAAAGCACACTGCCACGTGTGTACCTATGCAACAATCCTAAATCACGTACTGTACCCCAGAACCTAAAGTGAAATTTTATATATATATATATAAAATAAACAATTATTAAGCAAAAAGAAAAGAAATAGAAAGCATACCCTGGCTCATTTGGGGTTTAATCTCTTCATCCATGTCCAAGACTTCTAAATCTAGGAAATTGTCTACCTAGAAAAAAAAGAATTAACATCATTTTTAAGCAGAACAGATCTAAAAAAAATGCAATGAATCCACTTCCATAACACCTAACTGAGCAGCTGAATCCACTTTTCTCATTAACTCTTGAGTCCCAGCTTTTGTGTTCACTGTGCTTTCCCAAGAGACATATGAAAGAAGTAGTAAATTTGAAAGCTGGCCTGGATTTTGTAGGCACCACAGTCAGACCTCTCCACTGTAAGGGAAAAAAGCAGTCTAAGAGTTTTTTAAAGGGGACTTTGTTCCAGATTCTAACCCAGAATATCTACCACCACCATGAAACAGCTGAAAACAGTGTTTCTAGGTTTGTTTTCATTTTATTGCTTTTGCCTCTCAAGCGAATGGTAGTGGTGGCTCTGGCTACCGTCAGAACAGTGTGCTTTCTTATAGCACTCTGAAGAGCCAGAGAGAAGAAACTAAAGAAAGCAGGAGAAAAAGGTTCATTCAAAACAAAATTACAAGAGAGGTGAGCAGGGCAAAAAATCAAGTGTTCTCTCTTTCGAGCAAATAAAACTGAAAATCACTTCAAAGGTAAAAAGCAGAGCAAATGACCTTTACAGACACAATAGCAGCATTTCAATGAAAAACTTTCCACATGGAATACTGCTTTCCACTGCAAGCTGACAATGAGACATTTTAGATTAACAAAATGGTAACATTTAGACATGAACTAATTCATCTCAAGTGAATATCAAAGAGCGTAAATAAGAAAATGATCTCACCACTGGCACGAATGAGACCTAGTAAAGGAAAAAGGTTGCAATGCCTTTTATGCTCATGACCTAAACATGTGCATAACAAAATACCATTAAATTACAAATTTGCATTTCACTGGAATTCAAAAGACAGGCTGGATCTTTTGTTCCCCCAGCTCTACTTGTGAGACCATAGCTATTATATAGGAATTTTAAATGGTACTTCCATTGCTTTTAAGTACATACCTGCAGTTATTATCTGGCATCCAAGTGAAGGCAAAAATTTATCTTCCATATAATGGTTTCACTACTAAAATTTGAAATTCTCTCATATTATACTGTTATTTACTTAGTGGTGTATGCTAAGGGGGACTGGAGTCACGTTTCTCTATCAAAGCATCCCTTTCATTTATTAAGCTCTAAGGAAAAAAGATCTAGAACCCAGCTGACCAAGAACAGTTTAGGATATTCAAACACCAATTAATAATAATAATAATAATAATAACTTCTAAGGACCAAATCTGTTGAACTCTCCAACTTTGTATAAGGAAGAGTAAATGAGTCCTATGTTTTTAGTTTATTTGTTATGTTTTTACTTTTTGCCAAGAAAACTGAATCATGCCTTACCTTCACCTTTTCTGCCCAATTCAGATCACCTTGAAAAGAACTGCCAACTTTTTGGCCTTCATCCATCACTATCTGAAAAAATACTTTTTGACCTTCACCCATCACATATTGACGGAAAAATGAAACAACTGAAAACAAAGAAGCTGATCTTGTAGCCCTTCAGATGACATAACTCCCCTTCCAAAGCTGGGCGCAGTGGCTCACGCCTGTAATCCTAACACTTTGGGAGGCTGAGGTGGGTGGATCACCTGAGGTCAGGAGTTCAAGACATAACTCCCCTTCCAGTTTTTGTTAATTAGCTAAACATAACAGACCGACTTCAGTAAGCCATAGCGGAGGTCAGGGAATAGGTTTCAGGAGCTCTGATTCTACTTCTGTCCTGTAGACTCATCCACGGTATAACCTATAATAGACTACTTAACCTCAGTCTTCTCCCGAGTCAAATAGGAATACTCCCTACTCCTATCCCATCCCAATAAACATCTGATGAACAAATCAGAGGATTATAACACAACGTTTTCAAATTATTAGAAAACAGTGTCATTCAACCATTCTTTGTTTCTCACACGCTGGTTAAAGACTCTCTATATAATATAATCCCAATGGTCAATCATTGCCAGTAAAGAGTGAATCCTCTAGGGAAAAAAAAATCATATTCCACAATTATCTCTCTGGAAGCAAGTTCTGGAAATAAAGAATTACAGGCATCTGCTGTATTTAAACATATTTCTAACACAGAGATTTTTGTTCCCTTGTAAAAAAAAACAAAAACAAAAACAAAACCACAATATAAAATTCTGTTCACAATATTGCAAGGAAAACATGATGAGGCAAAAATTAGAAACTCAAATAGCTTAAAAAAATAGAACAGCTTCCACTATAATTCCTTGATAATTAAAAACCATAGCTGAAGAGAAGGTGAAGAGTTTATAAAGTCTTCAAGATTAAAAAAAGAGTATCTAACATTTATTGACCAAATCTTAGAAAAAAACAAGGTTTCCAATTCCACATTGAGTTTGAAAGAGATAAATCAAGGACAGGTGAAAGAAGTCTCATTTTACACAGAAAATTATAGAAAGGAACTTTTGTCCCAAATAGAATAAGACAAGCAAAAAGAAGTAATTTCAATAATTTATAGATGGCAGAGCCTTAAGAACTTTTTAAAATTGTAGATAACCAGTTATCATCATAAACAATAGCTGTCAAAATCATGAACTATGTGCAATGATGACTTTCAATAATGTGCCCCAATGGCACTCCTTCTAGAATTAGGAGTTACAGATCTAATAACTGTCTAGTGTTTATTAGGGTCTCTTTTGTTTAATTCATGAAGAATTCTTTTCTCCTCAAATTGTTTCCATAAATGTACTATGTTGTATTACCTGTTCTTCCAAACACTGTGATGACGTACGAAGAAAGATGGTTTTATTTCTAAGATGGTGGTCATTTGCTTCATTTTTATGAGTAACTTTTGCTGAGATAAACATGTTTTCTGAAGAATCAGTTTCAAACACTCCCCTTTTGGACACATGATCCTCTGAAATAAGAAGTTATGTACTATTAGAAAACATCCGCAACACCCAGTCTGGTTTATTTTGTGTATATTGAGAAAGTTCCTTCCAACAAAAAAGAATACTTTTCAAAAAACTCTACAAACTGAACGTTTGAGGCATTAAGCACTCTTGGTATCTCAAGCACATTGAGATACCATCTCACGCCAGTTAGAATGGTGATCATTAAAACATCTGGAGACAATAGATGCTGGAGAGGATGTGGAGAAATAGGAACACTTTTACACTGTTAGTGGGAGTGTAAATTAGTTTAACCATTGTGGAAGACAGTGTGGCGATTCCTTAAGGATCTAGAAATAAAGATACCGTTTGACCCAGCAATCCCATTACTGGGTATATACCCAAAGGATTATAATTCATTCTATTATAAAGACACAGGCACACATATGTTCATTAAGGCACTGTTTACAATGCCCATCAAAGATAGACTGGACAAAGAAAATGTGGCACAAATACACTGTGGAATACTATGCAGCCATAAAAAGGATGAGTTCATGTCCTTTGCAGGGACATGGATGAATCTGAAAACCATCATTCTCAGTAAACTGACACAAGAACAGAAAACCAAACACTGCATGTTCTTACTCATAAGTGGGTGTTAAACAATGGGAACACATGGACACAGGAAGGGGAACATCACACACTGGTGTCTCTTGGGGGTTGGGGGACTAGGGGAGGGATAACAGGCGGTGAGGAGATTGGGGAGGGATAACATTAGGAGAAATATCTAATGTAGGTGATGGGGGAATGGAAGCAGCAAACCACCATGGCATGTGTATACCTATGTAACAATCCTGCAAGATCTGCACATGTGCCCCAGAACTTAAAGTAAAATAAAATAATAATAATGATAAAAGGTCAAATCCATAAATAACACCAGCTCTGGCCAGCTCTCTACTACTGCCTACAGCACCAGCACCAGTGACTTCTAACCAGCTACTAGAGGAGAGGTGGCCCCTGCCTTTTGCCTCAATAAATCCTTGGAAATTCTAGTGTGAAGCACCTAACCGGCTGTTGTGGGGGGTGCTGAGCAAAGTGTGGGGAATATTGCTAAGAATATGCCAGAGTAACCAGCCCTATACAAGGTGAGATGAGGAAGAAATGGTCTGAGGACTTAAGTCTCCCTGACTTCTTCCTCTTTTACAGTCGCAGCGATATCCTGAATCAGTCCTAGGGCAATAAGCAGTGGTAGCAGAGTAGAGCAAGATAGGCATGGAGACACTTGAAACAAGAGTTAACTGAGGGATGAAAGGGTTCCTCAAGCTTCATCAATGCTAAAAGGAAAGCAGACTTCCTGTGGCTACTGCCATGCCAGTGCTCTATTCTAATAAAAAGTGAAACAGTTTCAGTTTTCTCTGCTTATCTTTAAAAGAAGTATAACCTAAACCTAGTAATTACTAAGAAAATACTATGTACCCAGCACAACACTATTGTAATAATCTATTGACTTAAATACTTGAAAAGCACAGCAGGTCTGAAAATAAAAGATGTACAAGGACAAGCTCTATTTGCTCTCACAGTCACTCAGTGTACTCTACTATTTCCGATAAAAACTCCCAGGTTACGTGACAGGTAACCAGATGAAACTCCTTTGAAGTAAAGAGCAGAATATAATGAAGTCCTAGCTTCTGATGCTGATGTGGAACTATTGTTGGGATATCAGATCTAACAAAAAATTCTCATCTACTCTTTTAAAATTTCTCCTTTCATAAACACAAAGTTTTTCTTTTTAAAAGTCGGGATGATGCAGAAAAGAACCTGTTCACTCTCTGACGAAAGCTACAGTTTAAGGTTCCTTTCTAAACTTCAAAGTTGGTTTCATAAGAATATATGCTATATCCCTCCAAAGACCAAGAAGTGCTCTTTCTAAAGGCTTTTATTGTTGTTTTTAAAACCCAGCAAATAATAAATATCTTGGCACAATGAAATGGGAAAAAAGTTCTTTTTCAACACGATAATGTCAAAATGGCAGATGCTGACACAGCCCAGAATCTGGAGTGGCCAAAAGCCTGATTAGAGACCCAGATGCTGCTTCCCATAGTAATCCTGGTGCAATCCAAATGTGCCACCCAAGTGCTCGTGTCATCTTCTTCTGTTTCTGTTTTTCATCAGAGTCCTCTTCCACCCTTTCATCTTATCCCTAATGTCTCTTGCTTTGAAATAAGTGTCAGACATAATACGGTTTAGAAATCTAACAGCAATATTTCAGAGAACATGTAGGTTATTGAGACCTGAAAAAGCATTTCTTTGGGCATTTCTAAGTCAAAACTTCAATACAGATGAGACAAAAAGTTTTTTCTAAAGGTTTTTCGAGGTTTCATTATTCTGAAGCAATGGAATTTCAATTTCCTTTTGATACCAAACAGACAAGCTTCCAAAAGATCTCCCGTACAAGGCCCCCACTACAGCTATAGGGTCTAATTTCAGACCAAAGAAAAAGGTTACACACCTTGAAAAGGTTGAAACTTTTGATGCCTTGATCAATTAAACACTAACCACATATTGATTATACATCTTCCAGATAAAAGTGATTATTTTTTAAGAACTCAATTTTGAAAGAAACATTTTTAAAAATTCAAATTAATCTGTACCAAAGCCAAACTAGTGCCCATGCAATGAGAAGCATTATCACACTTGCAGGAGAATTTTCACAGATTAGCACAACCAACATTAGAATTCACAACCAAATCTGCCAGCAACCTCGGAGTGTCTGTTCTTCTACACCCTGGTCAATAGCAATATAAATCAAGAGCATGTTCTCAGTTGAGAAGAGATATTGAATATATTGCTACTAGGAAAGAAAAATTCATGGGGGGATAATTCCGTGCAACACTAGGCAATTGCAAAAAGCCTTCTGCAAAGAGAATAGGGGATAAGCAATCATGCTTATAACAAGGTTGGGTACTCTGAAAGTCAGGGCGTGATTTTTGCATTATACTCCTTGCCTAGAGCAATGTTTCTCTGGACGATAATGTTTGCTCTTGATTTGTCCAGCCAAACTACTTCACTCCACTGCTTCTTGATCACATGCTCCTTGGTATCTGGCCTCCCCTGGAGCGATAGTCGTTAGAACTAAATAAGCAATTTAAAAACCAATCAATCATAAATCAGAATAAATCCAAAGAAGCTAAATTCAGCAAGCAAATGCTTTGTCTAAATTCCCTTTGCAGTGCTCTGAATTCCAACTGTTTTATGTTCCTCATTTGAAAGGGCACGGGGAGGAGAGGATTACCTCAGTCTGGCCAGTCAGGAATAACTGTGCTTTCCCCGAGGCAGGATGATAATTGACTCATTATTCACAGTCATAGCCATCAACCTGCCAAGGCACAAATGCACAATGCTGGCCTGGAAAAATGTGTGTGAAAAGCCCCAGATGAGGGATACAACAGCAGTAAGTTGAAATTTTTGAAATGTCCAGTGTTAGGCACTTACAGAGAGAAAAATATAAAGAGATTGTAATGTTTCTGAAAGCTTATTTTCAGACAGAAAAAAATTCTGTGTGATGGTTGAGTTATGGAGCTCATTCAATCCAAAAGTTATATTCTGGCCATCAACTATGTGCAAGGTGACAAAGATGGGTAAGACCCAGTCCTTGTTGTCCTTACAGAGTTTACAAACTAGGGAGTTAAACCATATATGCAAACCACCAAAAGAGAAGGCACCAGTGGCAGATGATATAAGGGAGATACAAAAACAAAGAATGGTAAAATCATAATTGATTTTGGAGAATCACAAAGGCTTCACATAGGACTAGGGCATTGGAGCTGGGCTTTGAAAGACAGCTACAATTTCAACAGGTGAGCATTGTGAAGTGGTCATTTTACAAAGAGAAAAATTCCAGGCACAAAGCCCTCAAAGTGAAAATGAACAAGGCCTAAGGAAGAATCACTGATTATTCCAGGAAGATTTGGGGACACATGGAAGGGGTATATTTAGAGGGCCTGACAAAAACTCTGTACTTGACCTACATCTTGAAGAGTCAAAATTCGAGCTGTAATCTAAGAAGAAAAATAAATAGAATGAATCAAAGTGGTTCAGGTACTAGAGATGAGAAAGTGTGGAGCTACCATAGTAATCCAGGTAAGAAGTAAAGGGAGCTTCAGCTATGCGGCGGTGATGGGAACAGAAGAGATTTAGAAAAGAAGAGTTCACAAGTGAGTTCTGTTTTGTGTTTACAGAGCAGAAATGGAGGCGATATCCAACTACTTACGTTTCCTCTCTCCAGATATCACAGAATCATCACCTTATCTTTCCACTGCAATCTGTACTATACTTTTACATATAATTTGGCATGACCTAGATAATCTTTTTGAAACAATCTCTGTGATGGTGGGTGTAAATACAGCATGTTGGCAACCTGTTGAGTGGATTACAGTTTGGTACACAGAGGCCACACATACCCATTCCATAAATTGAGCTTACCTTCCCAGTTGACTTAGTCAAGATCACAAAAGAGGCGGCCCATACTGGGAACAGATGCAGCGTATTTGAGCATTGCCTCTTACAGCTCCAGAATTCCTAACAGAGCAACAGCTGCTGATGACAATGTCAACGCAAGGTAGAATCTGTTACATCCAAGTTTGTTTGTTTTTGTGCCACAGCCCTTTTCTACGCTAAACTTACAAGTCTATGCACAATTGATTTATTTTCTTAATAGGTAATATTTACAGACAAGCAGACCCTGCCAGTTCTTGAGTCAAACCCAGGATCACAAGAACACATGCTTATCTAGTGAAGAACCCAAGGAGGATCTAAGTAACCATGAGCAATACCTCCACTTCCTCAGCTTTATTGAGGTGTAATTTACACACCACAAAACTCAGTCACTTTAAGTGTACAATTCATTGACTTTCAGGAAGTATACACAGTTGTGCCACCATCAACACAATTCCATTTTTAGGTCATTCAATCACCCCAAAAAGGTGCCTGGAACTACTCCCAACCACAGGCAACCACTAATCTACTT